ATATATATATATATATGTATATACCGACAAGTACAGAGCGGCACGGATCTATGTACCCAATAAGTCTTCGAGGGTCGAACGAGAGGCTACGAACGTCGGCGACATGTTAAGTTCTCTCCTACTCTTCGCAAACCAAACCAAGAAATTTATGAAACCCACAATCCGCCTCACCACGAGAATACACTCTGTTCTTCTTTTCAATATACATATACATACATACCCATATACACACTTATATATAAATACACTAACGAACAAAAGTTTCAAATAATCCAAATAACTTCTATCAATTTATTCAAACAACCAAAATCTTTATTCTATTTCAAATATACAAGCTGGAATGATTTTTTTTTTTTTTTACCAAATTTTAACGAGTTCACAATTACATAATTTTCTAATAATTAATTTCAATGTTTAAAAATTCATTGAATGTATTGAATTTATTTTTCATTTGAATAACCCGCACGACTAGAGATAATTCCAAACTTTTGCCTGATAGTGTACAGTTGTTGTACTTCACTCAATACTATTTTATATCAATGTGTGTATGTTTTTAAGTTTAACTTGGATCTGTCCTCTTCTATTTTCTATCGAATGCACGATTAACACACAACGACTATATCGATCTTTGTAAAATGTTCAAACAGAGAGGAATCGTAACTTTTCCGGAAGTTTTCTAACATAAGTGTATAGTGAATAGATATTTTAAAAAGAAAGAAGTATATGCTCAAGAAGAATATATATTATCTTCGTATTTTATCTTTTTAATCTAACTATCTTGTTTATTCGAAAACTTTGAGATCTTTATCGAATTCTATCGAACGAAACAACTTAGGAAATTAATCTCGTGTTGTTTAATTCTTTCAAATCATATGGGAAATTATTTTCATATCAAATTATTTATAAAAGAAAAAAAAAGAAAAAGAAAACTAAATGACAATTTTATCGTTATATTTTTTTTTTATATATATAAAATTATTTCAATATATATTTAACAAATAAATTATAAAAAATAAACATATTATACGCCGATTCATTTTTATTTTAACTTTTATCAGTCAACTTTCAAAATAATGAAGAAACAATTGCAATAAAAACAAGGATTAATTATTATCTAGTATAAAATGGTATTAAAACATTCAAACGAATCCTATTTGAACGGATCAACATTTAATTCACCCTTCTACTTCCAACCCCCCCCTCAACCCCCACGTTATTTAATCTTCCGTTCGTGCTTTTATCAAACGATATCGATGTTATCGAATTAATACTAGGAACGAATTAAAAAAAAACAGAGAGAAAGAAAGATTATTACTTTCTTGTATACTTAACACACCACCTACGAGTTCCATGAAAAAATAAACTTCCTTGCAAAATTCGTCAGACCATCAACATTACACCACTATTACCATCACCACTAATATTTGAAAACCATTGACGAGAAGTGTTACCGCGAAACGATTTACGAGAGGTACGAGAAGTATAAAAATAGCATAACATATATGAGAAACACGAATATTAAACGAATATGCATAGTAAACTCGATGCCATACATATTCCGTCTTATCGTTCTGACTCATATATAATAATTATCAAAATGTTTAATATTTCCAAGAAATTATATCAATTCATAATTATTTATATATACGACACAATATTACCATATATATATATATAGAATATATACAAATTTATTATAAATATATTACATTTATATTAAAATAATTACCAAATTATTATATTCATATACATAAATATAAATAAAATAAAATATAATAAAA